GAGACACACACACACAGACACACACAGAGAGACATACACATAGACACACACACAGAGACAGACACACACACACACAGACACACACACACACAGACAGACACCCCCCCCCCACACACACACACCTTCATGGTGGAAGGGAGGAAGGCCTGTCCCACTGGCCATTTGAAAGGATGAAAGGGGTGGGGGTGGAGACACAGGCCCTTCCAGGCTTCCCTTCCGAAGGGGTATGAATGGAATGGCTTTTCTAGAAAGGGGTTTCCAAGAACATAAAGGAATTCCTTTCTCTGGGAGGCCCTGTGCAGCCCCGAAGACTTGAATTGGGTTTAGGCTTCAAATCCATTTCATCTGTCATTTTTGTCAACATGGTACATAGATAGGACCCACTATGATTTTCTTTTCTTTTTCTTTTTTTCTTCTTCTTCTTCTTTTTTTTTTTTTTTTTTTTTTTTTTTTTGTGAAGCAGCAGCTTCATTATTAAAATGTTTCCTCTTGGGTCAGAGCTTCAGAGTTGAGAAACGATACCAGGGCTTCCATGGGCAGAATCTTGAGGATTGGGTTGCCTCGGTAACTGCTTGGCAGCCTTGCCAGAGTCCACCACCTCTGTAACCCAGTTTGGCTTTCTGAGGGGATCTTTGTTCCTATTTTAGACTATGAAAACATGATATTTGTTCAAATAAGGACTTTTTTTACTAATATGCATTTTAATTTTTAGGGACACATAAACTCCCTTATGTTTGCATTATCATTTGTAAATTGATAACAGGGTCATCCCCCCCCCCCCCCCTCAACCCCCCCCCAAAGCCTTCTTGGTTTTGCTTTTTACCCCCCCAGAGGTTAGTAACCTCTGGGGTTGGCACAAAAGCACTTAAGTGGTACTTTATTGAAAAATGTTGGTCTAATGCCCATGAATCAAACACCGACCTTCAAAGAACCACGGCCCAATTGTGAGACTGGTGAACATAAAACATAACGCCCTCGGCTTATAACTGTTGCAGATACTAAGGACATCTAAGTGAGGCATAGCCAGTGCAAGCGAGGGGTGTGTGCGGCCACCCTGTCACCCAGTCCCCCCCCACAGACTCCTCCTGTTCCTAACCTTGCAAGCACTGTAGAGAATAAGCAGGGCCCTCACTATGTGGCACAGGAGACCTACTGAAATTCATATTTTGAGAGCTGTTGATGTCATTGATTGTAGAAGGGTTAGTTTTTAAAAAAAAATCAGAACTTTTTGGTGCAGGCAGGAGGAGTTTTTAAAGTGAAGTGAGCTAAACTGGAAGGTGGTAAAGCAGACATTGGTCAAGATGTTTGGGTCAGATCTGTGAGGGAATCTGTGATTTGAATAGTGATTTTCTTATTTTCTTTCCATACTGGGGTATAAACCCGGGGTCTTCTGCCTGTCACCCAAGCATTGGACTGCTGAGCCACACCCACAAAGGAAAAAAAAAAAACGAATATGTCCGTAAATAAATCATAAGTGCGGAACAAAAGTAATGGAAGTTTATTTTTAAACACTGCTGGTGGGTTTATAAAAAGGATTTCCATTCACCTGTTACACACGACATATTCGTACGAAGCCTCGGTGCTGTGTAGAAAATGCTTAAGTGTGCACACCACTTTCATTACGTCCCTTAAGCATTGTTTTCTTCCACAAGGTGCAGTCCGTTCAGGCTTCTGATTGCACATGCAATTTAACTAGCTTTAGTCGTGCCTACTTGCAGCAAACATAAGCGCAGGACTAACAGATCTGAGAGGGCTGGAGGGACATTGCCAGGGGATGAAGCTTGTCAGGGTCATTGCAAGATGCCTGGCTATATATATCTTTTTTGCACTTAATGCCTACTCCATGTATTTTGAAGGTGCAATTTGTGGTTGTTACCAAGACTTCCTACAGTCTCGGGAAAGCTTGTGCTACTGAAGCACAACCACGTGTCCACGCCTTACTCAACAGGCTTGCACGTCTGCCTCCTTAGCCTCGGCTTGTTGGTTTTTGTATTTTTAAAAGGATTAAATTTTAAAGTGAGATGCATGAGTGAGTTCGAAGACAGCAGAAACTCTTGTCTGCTCGTGGGACTTACAAGGAGAACATTTGGCGTTTACTTAAGTGTCCAAAAGGACTCTGAAGGGACTTCCACCCTGTGCCCATCCCTCTGGAACATCGGACTACGGGATGGAGGTGGGGGTCCCCTTAAAGTGGCATCTTTCCGCCAAGCTGCACGCAATGCCTGAATTCCCATTGCTGGTTGACTTCATGGTGAGGAAACCAAGAGCCCTGGGAACTGGGTAGTTTGAGGTCACAGGTTGGCATCTGGACTCTCAGCCCTCTGAAAACCGGCCCTTGACTGTCCCTTCTCCCCATCCTCCAACTGGGTCCCAATCTTCTACACCGGCATCTACGGTAAAAAATCTAAAAGGCGGCTGCGGAGTTCTATTAAAATAGTTGTCTCTGTATAAATTAATTTATATCGTGCATATACAGTTCGCCCCTCCATCTGCTGGACCTTGAAAAAAGGAAAAAGAAAGAAAAAAGGAACCAGAGAAGGCCTGGCCTATGGCTTCTCCCTGTGGGCAGGCATGCATGAATGCACACATGAACACATGCACACATGCACTGCTATGAGTGTATTTTTACCTTCTCATCAGAGCAACCATGATTACTTGGAAGCTATCTCCATAACAACAACCAAAGCAGAGTTAGTGGGTACTGTGGGCTTTGTCAATTTTTGGACACCCAGATTCTAACTTTCCTTCCTATTTGCAGGAATCTCTAAACTGTGCTACAGTCTTTGTGGGTAAGCAGAAGCCACAGAAGACCAAGAGAACAGGCAGCCCCACCCCACCCACTAGCCGGGCAGTCACGTCCCGGAGACATGTCAATCCTTTAAGAGGTGTTTGTCTAAAACTGGTAACATAGAGTTGACTGGTGGTAAGTTTTCCAATCTCTATTCTCTCCTCAAGGCTGATATCTTCAAAGTAAGGATAACTAAGGTATTTTTATGATTTGGAGGGATATTGTAATCAAAAGTCCATCAGCCATGATTTTACCATTTCCTGTCCTTGGGCTTCATGAAGGAACTTAGAAGTCTCTGGGGAGAAGTCAAGTTATTACCTCAACTATTTCCATACTGTTCCTCTAAGCTATGAACCCCTTCTCCCTCCTTCCCCCAGTTCCTCCTCCTCCTCCTCCTCCTCCTCCTCCTCTTGTGCCACCCCCTGCACATTCCAGGCCAGCGTGGTGCCATCACAAGACGCTTTAAGAGGAACAGGTGGGATTCATTCTGAGTAACACGCTTTACACAACAGAGCCGAACACTGCATTAACATTAAAAGATGCTCCAAAGCCACGCGGAGCTGGCGGACACCTTGTTGGAAGCTAAGCCGTGTCCTCTTCACCGTGTCCAGTCCGCCAGTTTGGCTGATTCCTCGATGCAGGTGGGGTGGGGTGGACAGGGTGTTAATGGCCCTGTGCTGTTTCATAGCCCCATAATTAAAAGCACTAACCGTGCCCATTTAATTAACTTCCCCTACCTTTCACATCGTTGTCTCTGAATACCAAAGACCAGGAAGTTAGTACGAATTGCCTCAAATTCCACCTTTGGCCCTTCTCCACCCCACTTCTAGTCAGATGTGACACGTAGCTGGCTGCTGACCATTTTTTGCTTTAAAATAGTAATAAAAGTCAAATTCCTCAGATACAAAGAAGTAATTCTGTCTCACAAAGGTAATCTCACACAGCCCTTTACTTTTTCTTTGCTTGACTCTGGGGAACCCTTGCACTTGTTGGGGATCCAACCATCTCAAGGGTTGCTGGCACAGGCTGGGGCCAAGGCGGGGCACCCTAATGGCTGACATGATCTCCTCTAAATGCTGTTGAAAACCCCGTTTCTCCTTGCTCATTTCTCCCATGGCTGTCCCCCTGCTCAGATCTGGCCTTGAAATGTAGACTACTCACAATATGGAGTCATATCCTCAGAGTTTGCACAGAAAGGAAAGCCGGAGAGACAGAGTGTGTGTGCGAGGAAGAGACGAGACAGGGGAAGGGAGAGGACTGAGGGGCACACACGTGACAGGGAATTTCTCAATAAATGCTGGTGATATTTTTTCCCTGGGGCATAGCATCCTAGTATGACATTTACCCCCCCCCCCACTTTAGGGGTTCCTGAAGGTCATCTGTGCCAGCTTGCTCCATGTTCCGAGCAGTCACCAGGTCTAGATGGAACTGGCTTATGTCTTCCCACAGCTAGCTCTCGGGACATACTTTCCTCCTCTGCCTGTGATTGGCTAGTGTGCCAACAGAAATCTCAGAGTGTCCTAGGGAGTGGGCTGGCTCTTCCCACTTCCCTTCGAGCAGAAAAAGTTAAAAAGGCCAGTCCTATGCTAGCAATGAACTGTACTAGCAATGTATTTCCGGGCACCTGGAGTGTGCTAAGAAGGCTCACATAGGCTGTGGTCCCGTTTTAAAGAAAGACAGAGGCTTGAAGAGTCCATGTTAATTGCTGTGTGTTTGTGGTTTCACCAAGGCCAGGGATTTCTACTTCCATTTCCTGTAGTTTGAAAACTGGCCTAGGAAGAGAACCAGTGTCTCTGCTGTTAACTCTGAGGTACAGTGAAAAGGGGTCTCATGGACACACCAGGAGTGTTGACAAACATGGGAGCTGGTTTGGAAAATCCCCTTTGTCTCCTTGTGGGAGCATTAAAACATAAAGTCAGGAGCTGTGTGGGGGTGGGGCCTGGGCACTCAGTTTCCCTTTGCTCTGTCTCTGTCGTCCTTGGGACATGTGACCTGTAACCCATTTCTCATTCCTGTGAAACCATGATTGGCAATAGGAAGCAAGGTAATCCCAACTCAGAAACAGAAAAGGCCAACATTTGCCCAAAGCAGGAGGATTTTTTTCCATCTACCACCCCCACACCTTCCCCTCTTGCAAATGGGACCCACCTTCATAGTTTGGCACAAGTCCATGCCGGGCAGCATTTACAGGAGGCTCAGGAAGGTTTCTAGCTGTCGATGGGCCGCTGGGCAATAGGGGGTTGGCACAATGCCACTGGCACTCGCTGCTGGCTGGCAGTGTGCTCAGGAAAAAGCGTGCCACCTCACACGGGGATCCTTGGGACTGCCCGAACTTGGCCGGCAGTGCTGGCTTCTTGCTGCTGAAGACGTGAGAGTCCAAAGGGAAATGTCCGTAATGGTAGGAGAAGGGGAGGCTGTAGGGTGGCCCGTACAAAAGGTCGCCGCCTTCTGAATGGAGCTGCTGTTCTGGGGGAGCCGGAGCGTTTGTGGGGGGACTAATTCTCCAGTTTCCCGCCTGGCTGCACTCCAGTTTGTCCATTTGGAACGAGCTGTATTGCTGTGTGGCAAAGAAGACAGATGAGAGGCCATCAGAAAGACCCTAGGCAAGCCACCTTCTAGCCCCACAAGACCGGATATTAGGAGACCCAGCCCCATGCTAGGGCTGGCCTGACCCCAGTGTCACTGTGAGGTCCCTGAGAGGAAAGATCCTATACGCCAAGCTGAGCACACACCATGTGCTGTGGACGCTCGCCACTCCCCAGACCTCACTAATGGCATTTTAAGAGGGCCAAGTTTTATTTTGGTATTACCATAAGCCAAATAAAGTAGCGCGCCCATCCTGGTTATTGGGGAATGCAACAGAAGATCACTTGTGGCAGGAGTTCAAATCTAGCCCGGTCAACAAGGTAAGAACCCCCCACCTCCAAAACAGAAGACAGAGGTTCTGTAGCCCATATTCACGTCAATTCAGAGGGCCCGTGTGCCCTCTTGAGTTAGCTGTTTGTTTGTTTGTCTCATTCTTGACAGTTTACCTGGGGGGTTGCTACCTGAAGGCGTCACTTCCATGTGGTCAAATTCTTGCTCAGAGGTTCATAGTTGATGCCCAGGTGTCCTGGGCCCCCAGATACACACCCACCTTGCTGCATGTGCATACTACCTGTGGGGGGTAAGGGTTCGTTCTCAGCTTTGTCTTCATCTTTGTATTTTTGGGTTTAGCTGATTTCCTAGTTTCTTGTGAGGTAGACAAGGTGGTTCTCCAGGAGTCCTGAGACTTAGAAGTGGACACCTGGTCCAGAGACAACTGAAGTTCCTTGTATTCAATATCCCTGGGAAGCAAGAGTAGGCAAGTCACATCCAGCGGGCCATGCATGGGCAAGAGCAGATCCCCCAAGCAAGCTCATCCTCAAGACCCAGAGCATCTCTTCTCAGGGGCTCAGGTGCTGGATGTGCTGGAGAGGAGGACACATCGTCCTGACAAAAGCTACCAGGAGCGCCGGCATGGTGGCCCAGAGGGTGCTGAGCAAGGTTAGGATTGTTTGGCAAGAATAGTGGAAAGTGATAGTGATACACTTTCTCCAAACCCATTCAGCCCAGATGCCTTTCCCAAGGATGCTGACCGCCGCAAGGGGTAGGCATGGTGGAGGCTAAGGGTAGCAACCCAGTGACCCCATGGCCCTTATTAGTTTGTGTATCCAGGGCCCAGCTGTTCTCTGTTGAGTGCCCCAGAAGCCTGGAGGGATGAGGTGTAGGGAGCAAGCTCCTAACCTCACCCACTTTCTCGTGGACTAACGTCCACCCTGCAAAACCAGCTTGGCAAAGGCACACTCCCAAAGGGGGAGTTGCTGCAGAGTGCTGCCTGCCATACCTAGCTAGCGAATGAAGGGGCAGAGACATTCCCTCCCGTGTAGCTTTGCCAGATCCCAGGGCTTAGGACACGGGAGGGCCCTTCTTTGGCTGAGGCTGGGGACATAGAGAGTGAGAGACAGGTACAGGGTGTTCCAGGAAGGTATGCCTATGACTTCTGGTGGATTTATACTAATCTGCATCTGAGTCACTTGGTGGCCCATGCCTGTAATCCCAGTATTTAGGAGGCTGGGTGGTGGTGGCGATGAGAAGGATCATGAGATTGAGGCTAGCCTGGACTAATGACAAGACTCTGTCTCAAGAAAGTTTTTTTTTTTTTTTTTTTTTCAATTACACTCAGGTCTTTCAGGGACCAAATCCTCCCCATTGCTGGAAACAGAGTATGTGGGAAGACAGAGATGGGAGATGGCAGAGCACAGGTGTGACCTGTGCCCCGCACAGGACAGGAACTGCCCTCTTTCTTTGCACACGGCCCCCTCCTGGGTCCCAGTCTTGGACTCTGTACCAGGGTCTGATCTATATCCTTAGAGGGCTCGCCTGTCGCCATTGCCACCACTCCCTGGCACATGTTCATAGCTGGGACCTCCCAAGCTACCAGGTTATTCCAGTAAGACAAAAGGGGGGACAAACAGTTTTAGAAGGCCAGAGGAGTGGGAGATGACCCTTCTTGGAGCGATGTGATGAGGGACAGAGGAAGGGAGAGCAAGGAGAGAAACAAATACGGCTGACTTACGTGAGGACGTAATTGACACTCACGATGCAGTGTGGTCGGGAGGAGCGGCTGTTGTGCACCACGGTGGCGTAGCTCTGCACCCAACCCCAGCCGCCGAGCTTGGACAGCAGCCGGTAGTATTTGGTGGTGACCTGGCCCTTCACAAGCACTGCAAATACAAGGTGACGTGAATCCTGGGGTCTCCAAAGGCCCTGCCCTACCCCAACCCTGACTCAGAGCTGCCTAGGGCAAAGGACCTTTGTGGCTGGACTTTTTTAGCATAAACATGGCATGAGCACACACACACACACACACACACACACACACACACACACACACACAAACACACACGAAGCAATGTCACCTATAACTTTGCCAGGTCCCTAGAATAGCCCCTCCCCTCTTGTTAAGAGCCCTGATTTAACAGTCACTGCTTTCATGGGAGAAAAAAAGGCCCCGAGACGTCACCAGTACCTGCAGAGTGGTAAAATCCGATTAGCTTTTTAGTACCCAAAATGCCCCAATTATGTTTTATCCACAAAACCTTCAACAGTCAGAGGGACCACGTTGTTTAAACAGAACGCTAATTTCAGTGCCTTCAGCCAAGTGTCAGATTGGTGCTGACATTTGCCGTCTGTCACACTGCGTGTGTTCACAGGGAACCTGCTCCCTGCCCCAGTGCCCTTTGTATTTTCTTCCAATTACCCATTTTCCTTGGGCTGTTAATTTCCTGTGTGGCTCATGTAGGAAAGCCCTCTGCTTAGTGACACAGCTCCTGAAAATTGGGCCCATGAGCCCACCTTCTATGCCTGGGTACAAAGGCTGGGCAGCCAAGCAGTTCCGAAGAACCTCTGTGTGCCCATAAACCATGACTCCCCCTTTGCAGCCCTCAAGTAGGCAGATGGCGGAAAGTGCCAGAAGTTGTGGGTGGGCAGTGGAGGGGAGAAAACTAAGCAGAGGTGTGGCAGCTATTCTACCCCCAGCTCTAGAACATTCCTGCTTTTCTAGACAGGGTTAGCCGGGGGCCCCTACCTGGAAACCACCTGGACAGAGACAAGGGGAGAAAACCAAAGGGGCTAAGGCTGTGGTGATGGGTGAGCTGGTACTAAAGGACCCCACAGAACAAGGTCACATCCAGCACAAACTGAGTCCTCACAGTGCTCTACAAGCAGAGACCCCAGTCTGCCAGCACGCCCCAGGCTCCCTGCTATTCATGATGGATCTGTGTCAGCCGCTGGAACAGCTACTTCAAGACATTTTGATGCATCCGGAAAATGGCATGGATTGATGGTCAAGATATTGTCAGCCTTGCATATCAAAGGCAATAAAATCTCTGAGATAACTATGATTTGGTTCTTGAAACATTTAGGATAAACCGACTCTTTTATCCAGCCAGGTACGGTGCCTCACCTGTAATTCCAGCATGTGGGAGAATGAAGGTGGAAGATTGCCACAGGTTTGAGGCCAGTGTGGGCTACACAGTGAACTTCAGACTAACTACAGTGTGAGACCCAGCCTCAAACAAACAAACACATAGATACACATGCACATGCATATGTACACACATACACACACACACACACAGACACACACAGACACACTCAGACACACACACACAGACACACACACACAGACATACACACACAGACACACACACACACTAACACACACACACACAGACACACACACACATACACACACAGACACACACACACACACACTCACACACAGACACACACACACAGACACACACACACACACACCAGAAATACAGTGTAAACATGATAAGGAAATAAAAATTTGTCAGGCGTGGTGCCTCTTTCCTGTGATCCTACCACACAGGAGGCCTAGCCAGGACGACTGTAGTGAGTCTGAGCCAGCCTGAACTACACAGTGAGTTCCATGCCAGGCTAAGCTCTAAAATGACACCTGTCTCAAAATGTAAAAACAGGGCTGGTGAGATGGTTTAGTAGGTAAACATACTCACTAACAAGCCTGGTGACCTGAGTTTAATAGTCCCCTGGGATCTACATGGTAGAAGGACAGATGTCTGCAACCTACTCTCTGACTTCCATGTGCCATCACTCGCCCCCCCCACACACATACACATGCCTGACCCAAGCACACATGAGTACACACACACATACACTCACACACAGACACATACACACAGACACACACAGACACACACACACACAGACACACACACACACAGACACACACAGATACACACACACACACTCACACACAGACACA